AGTGCCACATATGTCAATGTCTGGTTGTTGTCTGTTCTTGTTTGTTCTCAGTCCACAGAACTTGCTTTTGGATGTTTTGCAGTGCAGGGTTGGCTTTGGCAAAATCTCTTAACTTCTGTTTATCCTGGAATGTTTTGATTACACCTTCATATTTAATTGATGGCTTTATTGGGCAGAGGATTTTTGGTTAGCATTTTCTTTTGTTTCAGGTTTTATATACCCCATTGCCTTCTTCTGAGCTTAATCTGATTTGCTTGCCTTTGTATGTGACACTTCTTTTTTCCATAGCTGCTTTCAGGATTCTGTCCTTATCTTTGATTTTGGATAGCTTGACTATGATATGTTTTGGTGATTTTCTTTTGGGGTCTATTCTTCCTTGGGTTTGTTGAGCTTCTTGAATACTTTTTGCTTTTCAGGATGTTAGAGAAATTTTCTTCCAGAAACGCTTCAATTATCTCCTCTGTGGACTTGTGTGATTCTTCCTGTTTTTGAATGCTGATAATTCTTAAGTTATTACTCTTCATGTTATTGAACATGAATCTTAGATCTTCTTTAGATTTTTTTTATCTTTTTTTTCTGCTTGCTCTTCTATCTTTATAGTATTGATAGGTTTGTCTTCCAGCTCACTAGTTCTGCCTTCCATCTCTTCAGTTCTACTCCTTTGCCCTTTCAGTGTGTTGCCCATTTCTCATATTCTATTATTATTCATTTAGACCTCTTTTTGTAGATTTAGAATTGTTTCCAGTATTGTAACTATCTTATTTGATTGCTCCTGTGACACTTTCTTAACTACTTCCTTCTATTTCTCAACTTTCCTGTGAAGTGTTTTGATAAATTTCATTATCATTTTCTGAATTTCTTCTCAAGCATTTCCAAAACCTGCCCTCCCTCCAATCTGAAGTCTGGGTCTACCTCCAGGCCATTTGTGTCAGTCACTTTATCTTGTTTTTGGACATGTCTAGAGATGGTCATCTGTTTCTTGGGAATATTTAGAAGTTGACTGTGACTTTAATACTTATATGAATGTAAGTTGACAACCTGAGATATGCAGATGATACAACCTTGCTTGCTGAAAGTGAAGAGGATTTGAAATATTTACTGATGAAGATCAAAGAGCACAGCCTTATGTATGGATTACAACTCAATGTAAAGAAAACAAAAATCCTCACCACTGGACCAATAAACAGCATTCTTAGCAATGGAGAAGAGATTGAAGTTGTCAGGGACTTCATTCTTCTTGGATCAACTATCAACACTCGCGGAAGCAGCAGTCAAGAGATCAGACGACTTATTGCATTGGGCAAATCTGCTGCACAGGAACTTTTTTTAAAGTATTGAAGAGCAGAGATGTCAGCTTGAGGACTAAGGTGCGCCTGACCCAAGCCATGGTATTTTCAGTAACCTCATATGGATGCGAAAGCTGGACAGTGAATAAGGAAGATTGTAGAAGAATTGATGCCTTTGAGTTGTGGTGTTGGAGGAGAATACTGAAAGTGCCATGGACTGCCAAAAGAACCAATAGATCTGTTTTGGAAGAAGTGCAACTAGAGTGTGCTCCTTGGAGGCCAAGGTAGCTAGGCTTCGTCTCTCCTACTTTGGAAACATTGTCCGGAGAGGATGTCATGCTGGGTAAGGTGGAGGGTCAGAGAAAAAGAGGAAGACCCCCAATGAGATGGATCAGCCAGGTGACATCATTGATGGCGTCAAGTGTGGCAGCGGTAGTGAGGTTGGCCCAGGATCGGACATTGTTTCGTTCTGCTGTGCATGGGGTCGCTATGAGTGGGTTCCGACTCGATGGCACCTAACAACAACAAGTTGATATTTATTATGCTTTCTCATTGACTCCAGGTAGATATGATCAGGAGATTGGCTTCCCTTTTCACTCTTCTTATTACTGAACTCACAGTAATTGTAGCATGTGTTGGTTGCCTCCCTGGTATGTGGCACCTGGTATTGGTTCTTGCCTCGATTGTGGGATTTTATAGGGTGTCATTGTAGCTTGACTATATGACTGCAGTTGCTATCTCTTCTTGGGTAATGTAGGGCTAGCAAGAGCCCCTGAAAAGTAAAGAGGGCACCAAAAAAAACAAAACAGCAACAGCAAATAAGATAGATTAGATACTGTATTCTATTATCACAGAAAAGAGAGATGAGAAAAAAAAATTGTAGCTAAATATGAATATGACTTTAATGTCCCTTGCTCCGCTTTTTGCCTTCAAGGCCACCTGATAAATTTCAAGATGCCAATGTTGATCGTTATGATATAACTCAGGATTTAATTTTTGGCCTTTTTCCTTTTTAGTCTGTCTACGGCACTTAACAACAACAACAACAAACTGTTCCACAACCCCCATTGAGGCCTTTTTTCTAGTGATAAATAGTTCAGGGCTGGCTGTGGTTTTCTTTGCGTTGCTGTTTGATTTTAAGTGAGAATTATCTCTTCAAATTTTTAGCAGATCTGTGCACATGTGTAGTAGAACCCTATGGTTGTGGGGGCTGTCCACTCACTTGGGCAACCCCCTAGTCACCAAAATGGAGGTGTGCAGACAGTGAGAGACCAATGAACAGATACAAAAAAAGAAAAGAATATCCAATCATTTATCGCTGAGGATTGGTCAGGCAACAGGTGTACATGGCAGCTCTGATCCTTCCCCTGCTCCATCTTGCCCAAGATGGCCACTTTGGGATCCTCTGAAGCTGGTAGATATGGAGGCACTAGATTTCTTGCTTCTGCTACAAATTCCACTGGCTGTAAGCCTTCAGGTTTCTAAATATTCCTTTATATGTAGCTAGTAGTTTTGAACTGCTGACCTTGCGGTTTGCAGCCCAATTTGTAACCACTATGCGATTTAAAAGACATTATTCATACTATCATATTTTTGTCTATTAGATTTCTAAGTGTTGGAAGAGATGTGCCAAAATTTCTTCTTGTGACTTGGATTTATAATTTTCACCTTATAATTCTGACAGCTTCAGATTTAGCTAATTTGAAGGTATATTGTTAGGTGTGTGGTAGTTTATAATTAGTCTTTTTAAATGCCCTTTTTTGTCCTTTTAAATACAATTTACTTAAATTCATTTTTTTAATTTAAAATATTGCTACTCAGCCTTTCTTGTATATTCCTGGCGTGCAGATTTTTGTTCCTTAATTTATATGTTTTTGTTGTTTTGCTTTAGTGATACTTCTGGTAAACAGTATATAGTATATTTTAAAATTTTATATGAAAGTTTTTGATAGATATATGTGACTTGTTTATACTTATTATAAAGAGTTCTGATGACACAATGGTTTAGCACTCAGTGGCTAACCTAAATTTGTGCAGATTGACACTACCAGCCATTCTGTGGGAGAATCTTCTCCAGTAAAGATGACAGGTTAGGAAACTCTGTGTGCAGCTCTTTTCTGTTCTATAGGGCCACTATGAATCAGGATTGAATCAGTAGCACTCAGCAATAGCATCTATGATTTCTAATATATATGGAGTAATTTCTATCATCTTACTTTGTGTTGAAATTCTGGTATGACACTGTAGGTTAATGCACTGGACTGCAAAGTCAGTTTGAACCACAAGGTTGATGGTTCAAGCTTACCAGATGCTTCTTGGAAACTCTATATAGGGTCACAACCAATTCGACAGCACTTAGCAGCAACAACAACACAACAACAACTTAGTGTTATCTGCTTGCCATCTTTTATCTTTGATTTGTTCCACTTTTTTCTTTGCCTTCTTGAAAAAATTACTTTTGATGATGTCAAGCATACATCTGTCTGTAAATATTCAACAGAAATAATAATGATGATGCTTCTTTTTTAAGAGTTGCACTCTCTAGCTTACCTCAGCCTTCACTTGGCCGTTTAGTATCTTTTAGATCCCTATAGTGAGTTCTATAGGGTAGGATCCAGATTGTGTCTATGGGAAGACTTCAAAAAAATTTGTGGAGAAATATAATGAATAGATAATGGAATGGCACAATATGAATAGAAGTGGCGATAAACGACCTCTTTGTCTGGTTCCTCCTGTTCATTGAGAGTGATTTTGGCTGTTGGATTTGTATATATAATCTTAATTATGTTGGGGAATTTCCCTTCAACTCCTACTTTGTTGAGTGTTTTTATTAGGAATGCACGTTTGATTTTATCAAATACCTATTCTGCATTAGTCAATATAATAATGTGGTTCTCTCTCTTTTTAAAATTTATGTGGTGAATTATGTTGTTTGTATTTCTAATATTGAACCATTCTTGCATTCCTGGTATGAATCCTGCTTGATTATGATGTATGTTTTTTATATATTGTTGAATTCTATTGGCTAGGATTTTTTTGAGAGTATTTGCATCTATGCTCATAAGGGATATTGTTCTACAAATTTCTTTTTCCCTGGTTTTAGTATGAGGATTATGTTTGCTTCCTAAGCTGTTTTAGAAAGTTTTCTAATCTTTTCTATATACTGGAACAGTTTTAGTAGAATTGGTGTCAGCTATTCTCTGAGTGTTTTGTAAAATTCACCAATAATTCCATTTGGGTGTGGATTTTTTCTGGTTGGGAGTTTTTTGATGACCTGATCAATTTCTCATTTTGTTTTGTTTGGTCTGTTCAGGTTTTTACTTCACTCTGTGTAAGTTTAGGTAGATCATGCTTTTCTAAAAATGTGCCCATTTTCTCTCCATTTTCCACTTGTTGGAGTACAACTCTTCATAGTACTCTGTTATCCTTTATATTTTCATTGGTTCTATTGTGACATCACCCATGTGGTTTCTTATGCGTGTTATTTTTTCTCCCTTTTTTCTTTTGTTAGATTTGCCAATGGTTTGTCAATTTTATTAATCCTTTTCTTTAATACATAAGTGAGATGTTTAAATATCTTTTTAAATTTAATTTGTCACACTTTTCTGAAGTGAAATCAAACATAGCTTAAATATTATACTGAATATGCCTTAGAGTTTGTTTTATAAAACTGTTTAGGCATCTCTATTAACCACACTTCTTTATTGTTCCTAGGTTATTGAATCTTTGGGCATTATTATTTACAAAGCACTGGACTACGGTTTGAAAGAGAATGAAGAAAGAGAATTAAGCCCTCCACTAGAGAAGCTCATTGATCTTATGGCCAATACAGTAGAAGCTGATAGTAGCAATGATGAAGGCTATGAGGCTGCAGATGAAGGAATGGAAGATGAAGATGATAAAAAGAGAAAAATCTCAGCTATTCGGTCATATAGAGATGTCATGAAGGTAAAGCAGCAGTTTACATAATAGTTTCTTTTAAGAGGTGTTTTCCATTTTTTAAAACTGAATGCTGTTTGAACGTTCTCAGATTTACAACAATAAGTTATATGAATCAGTAGTGGTGATTTGTTCACAGCCTATAAGTTGTATTTTGGGTACTTGTGTGGCAATGTAGGATAAGCACTGGGCTGCTGACTGCAAGGTCGGTAGTTCAAACCCACCAGCAGCTCTGGAAGCCTTATGCAGAGTTGTTATGAGTTGAAACCGACTTGATGGCACTTAACAACAAAATAGTCTTTTATGATTGCATCATTAAGTTCCTCTCACACACATACACAAACAAAATGCTTTTAAGTTTTTTTTTTTTTTTTTTTTTGCTTTTAAGTTTTAAGACCCCTGTTATAGATTGATTTATAGCCCCCAAAACATATGTTGTAAATCCTACTATACCTTTGGTTATAATCCTAAATGGAAATAGGGTTTTCTTTGTTTTATTAACAGGAAGCTACTAGTGTAAGATAGGAGCTCTGGTAGCGTAGTGGTTACGAATCGGGCTGCGAACCTTAAGGTCAGCGGTT